TAATTTGGGCGTTCCCGCCAAGGGGGTTTTTTTTTTATCCCTTTTTGCCCCCTGGGGGGGGGGTTCCCCAATTTTTTTTGCAACCTTTTGAAAAGGTCCATTTTTCCAAAAGGGGGGCCCCCCCCCCCCCCCCCGCAAGGCGCTTCGCGCTTGGTGATGTGAGAGCCTGGTCCGGTGAGAACCCAGCGTGCTCCGTCCCGGCTTTGTAGGGATGCGAGGTCAATGGTCTAACGACTACGGCATGCACGACTATGAGTACACCCCCCCTCCCCCCCCCGCACACCCTCTGGTTCAGGAGGCAGCGGATGCCTTTTTTTCCGGGGATGTGGACATTGCCCAGCTTGTGGCCGCCTCGATGCCGATGCCGCCGGCGCCTCCGGCTGTCGACCAGCGCAAGCTGGACGCATGGTGAGAGGGGAGAGGACATCATCGGGGAGATGCGTTGCGGTGGCCTGGTGTCTCGTTGGTTCGGACGTTGATTTTCTTCTTGATTCTTGCTGTTTGCCTCCTCGTCTGGTTGTTGTTGTTGTTGTTGTTGTTGATGTTATCGTTATTGTAGCTGTAGCTGTTGCTTGCTGTTGGCATTGCTGTCATCATTGTTACCGTTGCCGTCCATGCCTCTCGCACACCTGCTGATGGGCCGAAGTCCATAGCTGTCGTTCCCCTGAAAACAAGCCCCGCTCCCAGACCCTCCATGTCCGCTCCCCTACTGTCGCAACATTCATTACGTGTCGGCAACTTTTTGCGCGGCACTTGTGTAATGCGTCGGGGTGCAGGTTTGATCGCTATTCGGACGCGGACGAGAAGGACTCAATCCTGGACGATGGTATTCAGCAGTTTTACACCGAGCTCGGCGTCGACACCCAGGCAAGGATTGCAAGAATAGGGGCCATGTACTACCCGCGATGGACGATGCAGCACACGCACATTTTATCAGCCAGTTAGCGCTATCGATGCTCAATTTTTAAGAGACACACACACACCGTATTATCTTGGTTTTCGAGGCGCGATGCTTCTACCGGTTCGGCTGGGTTCTTGGATGGTAGTATAGGTGTATTTTTTTTCTAGGCACCTCAGACAGCGATGCGATCACAGCAATTGCTTGCTTTGTGATTTAATGAGCCCTCTGGAGTGCAGGTGTTCTACGAGAGAGGGCCGTTCATAACACACCCGCGGCTGAATCTGCCGTCTACGCACCCCCCTTCTTCAAGGGGCTTCACGTGTGCCTGAGGCCTGCACCGCTCCTGCTGTCCGAGGATGGCAAAAGTACCATGAAATATTTCACTGTTGGTGAACTCCTCACTGATGACAGAGAAGACATGGATGGGTCCAGTCGGAGGGATTTTCCGACTGACGTTGGATCGCGAGGAGGCGTATTGGTTCAGGAGACGCAAGTCCCACATTGGTGGACTTGGCACTCTCTCTGTTCGTGCGTATTCCAATCGATGTGTGTTTTGCCGTCGGCGTCTTTGTTTGTTTGTTTTTTTCAGGACCTAGTGGTGCTGATAATTTCGTGGAAGATGGAGGCGGAGGAGATGTGCGTCTACTCGAGGCAGGAGTGGCGACGGGGTATGTCCAAGATGGGGGTGTCCTCCACGCGCCAGCTGCGGCAAAAGGCAAGGGACGGGGAGGGCGGGGGGGGTGGTACTGTAGAGCGAACGGGAGAGATATATATATAGAACGGCGGGGAGAAGGAGGAGGCGATAAGGATAGAGACAGAGACAGAAAGGATGGGGGGACACATGCAGCAGCGAAAACACGGAGATGTTAGGAGGGAGGGTGAGAGAAGATTTTTGAGACTAGAAAGTCGGGTACCATGCCGATCGTTGGAATTTGCGCGTTCTGTAGTTCCGTTAGGGATCTTGAATTTGGGGTGTGATGAGGTGATGGAGTTGCCCTTGCCGCACGTACGTTGTTCATGGTGCCATTCAGTGTGCTGTTTTTTGTTCGTTTCTGGTGTGGTATGTTGCCTCTTGCTTGCTGCGCTTGCGGTGCAAACATTCACATTCTGTGGCAACATTCACATGCGTGGCATTTGGAAGTGCCGCTGCTGTGTGAATTTGAAACGTTAGCACCAACCACTTGCGGTTTGGAGTCCTTGTCTATCACCTGGAGGTGTCAGCGGGAAGGCACCGGCCAACACCCTCCATGACCTCTCTGCATGCCGTACGTGTCTCCTCGCAATCGTGAAAATGTGTTACAGCTGAAGGATCTGAGAGTGGTGGTGGACGACAGGCGGTCTCCTACGTTCCGAGAGTTTTACATGTTCTGCTTCGAATACGCCAAGTGAGCCTCCGGCAGTTTTCCTTTTCGATGTGTTGAGGTTGTGACAAAGGTGGTTGTTATCTGGCTTGGTTTCTGGCTGGATTGAGAGCACGTGAGTTTTCGGTGGCGTTGGTTTGCCCTCTTAGACTTGATGCTTGTTTTGCCAAGCAGAGCAGTCCCCAACAGCCAAAGACAAATGTCTTAGGGTCCACACCACACCCGCAAACTTCCTCTTCCGTTGTCATGTTTTGAATCCTCCTCGTGTGGTGATTTATGTTGTTCCGGTGTCTTTCCATAAGTTTTCAGGCTAGCAACGGGACGCCGGGCGTGTGCCTTCGCTCCCTATTGTATACCTTTTGATCGCCCCACTTTTTTTTGTCTCCACAAGCGTGGGGGCGTCGATGGCGTTCCTTTGTAGTGTCCGCGAGTCGTCGCAATTTCTCGCTTGCATAGCTTGAGTTTGTTCGTCGAAGCTCCCGCTCATAAGTATTACTCTCTCTGGTGCTTTCGGAGCAGCAGCAGCAGCAATGCCATCGAAGCGTCTCACCCCAACGCTGTGTACTCCCATGTCTTTCCAAACCCGGCCCTAGCATTGGAATGCAAAGAGCGAGTCAATGGATATTCAATTTATTGCAGGCAGAGGCGAGAGTTCCTTCCCCCGCCTCCACCTTCTCTCATGCCATCGGCTTTCCTGCGGGCATCCCCCCCTGAACTTTTGTGTTTCCCTGCCCTCCCCCCCCCGAGGTCAATGGTCAAACGATTACGGCATGCACGACTATATGTATGAGTACACCCCCCCCCCCCCCCCTTTACCTTTCTT